CGCGCCGTCGCCGCCGCCGCCGCCGCCGCGCCCGCGGCCGCCGCGGCCCTTCGGCTTGCTCTCGCCTTTGCCGCCGCCTTTCGGCCGCCGGGCCTGCGCGCTAAAACGCCGGACATCGTCTCGCGAGAGGCGAAAGCTGTGGTCTTGACGAGATCTTGACGGCAGCATCAGCGCGTAGCCAGCCCTCATACGATGGTGCTCGCAGCCCCGCGTATAGCGCTGCCGTCGCTGCTGCTCCTCGCCGCGGGCGCCTGGGCCGGCCGGCACAGGACGCTGTGCTCGCAGGTCCGCGACGGCGACGTCGCCTTCGCCGTCGACGTCTCCGCGCCGCGCTGGCGGGCCCGCGCCCTCAACGCCAATCGGACCTATTGCGGCGCCGGCGGCGCCGTCCGCGGCGCGCGCAAGCTGTTCAGCGTCGGCATGCCGGCGACGGGCGCCGACGGCGCCGTGGCGCGATTCCTCGCGGCGCGAAAGCTCCGCGTGCGCGCGGAGGGCGACGGCGCGTTCCTGTCGCGCGCCGTCGACGTCAAGCGCCGCGACCGCGACGCGACGTTCTTCGACGGCGCGGCCGGCGCAGACGCCTTCGGCGCGCGCGCGCGGCGGCAGCTCGGGGCCTTCGACGCCGCCGCGGGCCTCGCGCTGAGCCAGTTCGCGCACGAGCTCCTGAGCGTCTGGCCCGACGGCCTCGTCGTCGCCTCCGCGCGCAACGTCACCGCGTGGCTCGCGGCGGCGCGCGACTTTCCCTGGCCGGGCGCCGAGGACCGGGCCGCGGCGCTGCTCTTCGGCGCCGCGGGCTTCGACGCCTACCTCGCGGCGAAGCGCTACGTGGACTTCTACGCGGCGCTGCTCCGCCGCGTGCCCTGCTGCCAGCTCCTCGTCGTGGACGTCGGCGACGCCGCCTGGGAGGCGCGCCTCGGTGCGTTCCTGAAGCGGCGCGGCGCCGCCTCCTAGTTAGCGCGCGGCGGTCGCCCACGCGGGGAGCCGCCAGCCGCGCTCCGCGGCGAAGACGCGGCAGTGGACGGTCGCGTAGACGCCGAGGAGCACGGCCTCGACGCGCCGCCGGCGGCCGTGGAGCCGCAGCCACGCCGTCGTCGCGAGGCCGCCGAGGAAGGCGGGCGCCGCGTAGACCTCCGCGTGGGCGTAGAGGATGCGCCCGGGCCGCCGCAGGAGCACGTCGCGCGTCAATCCGCCGAACGTCGCCGTCACGAGTCCACAAGCGGCGCAGGCGGCGAAGTGGAGCTCGCGCCCCGGCGGCCTACCAAGCATGACGGTGACGATCTCTCATTGCTTTCCCACCGCAAATCTCTCGAACATCGTCACGGCCACAGGACGCTGCCGGATGCATGTCGTCGCCGACGAGCGCTCCGTTCGCCGCGAAGACGCCGAGGCCCACCGTGTCCGTCCAGAACAGGAGCTCCCCCTCGACGCTCAGCCCGCGGCGCCGCGCGAGGGGCGGCCAGGCGAAGAAGGTCGCCGCGCAGACGGCGACGCAGAGCAGCGCCTCGTCCCAGGCCACGAGCCAGAAGATGGGCAACCGGCCCAGCAAAACGTCGCGGCAGGTCCCGCCGCCGAGCGCCGTGATGAAGCCGACGACGACGCAGCCGAAGGCGTCGAGGCCCGCGGCGCCCGCGGCGACGGTGCCCGTGACGCCGAAGGACGCGTCGCCCACGTAGTTCGCTCCGACCTCGAAGGCGTGGTCCGCCGCGTGGATGGAGTCCCACAGCGCCGTGCCGCGCAGGGTGCGATGGCACGCCGCCATGACCACGAAGAGCGCGAGGATGGCGCAGGCGGCGCCGTGGCGCCGGCGGTGCGCGCGCGTCGGGCTTCTCGTCTTCGCCGAGGAGCGGCGCGACGGAGGACTCCATCAGAAGGCTGCCCGCTCGTCGTCGCCGAGGAGCGGCGCGATGGAGGACTCCATCATGGAGGCTGCCCGCTTTGGGTAGGGTAAAAGACGGCAACTTGGTCAACTTGCGATTCACTTCTGCGGACGAAAAAAAAAAGCGGAGGCAGCCCCTCGCGCGGCGCGCGGCAATGCGCGCGCCGCTGCTGTGGGCACTGGCCCTGGCGTCGGCGCGCGGCGACGGCCAGTTCGTGCTGCTGCGCGCGGCCAAGGCCGCGGCGGCGGCGGGCGGCGACGGCGCCGCGTCGCCGGGTGGCGGCGGCCGCTTCGCGGCGCTCCGGGCGGCCAAGGCGGCCCTGGCCCGGAGCGGCGACGGCCCGCCGCGGCGGCCGCCGCCGCCGGGCTTCAACAAGGAGCTCGCGGCGATCGTGCTGCGCTACTGCCGCTGCCGGGGCGAGGAGCGGCGCTGGTCGCAGCCGCCCAAGGTCTGCGACAGCTCCGGCGACTTGCGCGACCCGTCGCGCTACGTGCGCGACGCCATGCGGCGCGCCGTGGGCGGGCCGAAGCTCACCGTCGCCATCCTGACGTACCTGCCGTCGGCCGCCGCGCGGCTCCGGGAGACGGTGTGCCACTACGCGCGCATGGGCGGGGTGGTGGACCGCGTGCTCGTGCAATGGAACGACGCAAAATCCAAACCGCCGGACCTGAGCCGCTGCGCCGCCGTCGGCGCCAAGAGCGGCGTGCGCGTCGACGTGCGCGCCTTCGCGAAGAACACGCTCCTCAACCGCTACGACGCCAAGGGCATGGGCTCGAACGTGCTGCTCCAGGGCAGGACAAGAGAGCGAAATTCCCAACTTCAAAGGCTCCTTTCTCTGCCGTTTTCCACTCGTTTCGGCTGATTTTTGGACGAGCGATCATCTTTCGGAATGGCCTCGAAGCGTGGGCGCTTTTTCCGGAACGCGCGCGCGCGGAACACTCACGTTGAAGCGACATTGAATCACTCTTGTCCTGCCCAGGTGCTGCTCCAGGACGACGACGTGCGCTACGGCGACCGGGCCGTGCGCACGTTCCACGTCGTGTCGGCCCTCTTCCCGCGGAGCGTCGTCGGCGTCAACGGCCGCCTCGCGCTGTCCTACGCCGGCGGCGGCCCGGCGACGTACTACCACAGCGACAAGGCGCCGGGCGGCTTCCTCGAGGACGGCGCGCGGCGCCGCGACGGGAGGAACACGAGCCGCTACCTCTACAACATGGCCACGGGGACCACGTCCGTGCTGAAGCGCGCCCTCATCGAGCGGTTCCTGGTGGACGTGCCGCCGGCGTCGCGGGCCTACATCACGGACCACAAGCCGACGTGCGAGGACATGACGCTGCACTTCCTCGCGTCGAACGCGACGCGGCAGCCGCCCATCTGGTTCGAGCTCCACTCGACGGACGGCGGCGAGCTCGACAAGGCGCCGGACGCGCCGGCGACGGCGGGCGGCGTCCAGATGCACCTCAGGGTCGCGGGCTGGACGGACCTGCGCGCCACGTGCGTGGACCGCGTCGCCCGCGACTTCCGGCGCTTCCCCCTCGTCCAGACGAACTGCCGCATGGGCTACAAGCACGCGGCCCGCGACGGGCGCTGACGTGCGCGCGCCCGAGCCAAAAACGCGACGCCCCCCCCCGGGCGTGCAGCGTAGCTGATTTTTTTAAATTCGAAGCCGAGCGGGGGGTCCGGGCGATCGGGGGGAGGAGCCCTAGTCCGCCGCGGCGAGGCCCATGGCCTTGGAGAAGATCGCCTCGCGGAGCACCGTGCCGCCGACGATGTGGCGGTTCGGCGACGCGCGGCCGCCCGCGCGGCCGTGGAGCGTGCGCCAGTTGTTCATGACGAGGAGGTTGCCCTCGGCCATGTCGACCGTGCGCTCGTACTTGGGGTTGTGGAGCATCTCGACGAACGTCGAGAACGCCGCGTAGTACCTCGGGAAGACGTCGTAGGGCAGCGACAGCGCCGTCCGGAAGACCTCGTTGTACTGGACCCGCGCGAGCTCGCCGTCGTCGTCTAAAACAAAAAGGGGGTGCTTGCGCTTGATGACCAGCCCCTGCTTGTGGGCCTGGACGCTGTCCGCGCGCGACCCGGCGAAGTCGCGCTCGGCGTCGACGCCGTGCGTCGCGAGCAGCTCGAACGCCTCGGGGTCCGCGGCGCGGAGGTCGCGCGCGACGGCGAAGCCGTCCGTGAGCGTGTTCGCGCCGTAGCCCTCGACGTAGTGCATCGTGAGCATGAGCGCGGGGATGCCGTGGGGCGGCACGCTCGAGTCCGTGTGCTGGTAGAGGCGCTTCGCCGGGTCGTAGGAGATCGACGCCGCGTTCTCGCGCCGCACGATGCGCCAGTTGCGCTCGTCGCGCGTCGGCTCCTTCTGCATGCCGCCGAGGAAGTCGTCGGCGAAGCGCCGCACGAAGACGCCGCTCGCCTCGTCGGGCACCTGGGCAGGAAAAGGGTGATTCAACGTCGCTTCAACATGAGTGTTCCGCGCGCGCGCGTTCCGGAAAAAGCATCCATGCTTCGAGACCGTTCCGAGAGATGATCGCTCGTCCAAAAATCAGCCAAAACGAGTGGAAAACGGCCGAGATAGGAGCCTTTGAAGTTGGGAATTTCGCTCTCTTTTCCTGCCCTGTCGGGCACGCCCTCGACGAGCGCCGCGCCCTCCTCTAAAATCGCGCGGAGGTACGCGACCTGCGTCGCCTCGCACCGCTCGAGCTCCGCGAGGTCGAAGCGCCGCGGGAAGTGGGCGCTCGGCGCCGCGTCGCCGCCGTAGGGCGTCCAATCCGCCGGCGCGGGCGCGCCGGGGAAGCCCGTGTAGGGCTCGAGCCACGCCGGGATCGCGGGGTCCGCGACGGAGTTCTCCAGCTTCGCGCGGTCGTCGAGGGGCTTCGCGACCTACCACATGCGTCGGTGACGATAGTTTCACGGTCGACATCTCTCGAAACTCGTCGCGGGACGCCGTTCGCGACGGCGGGCGCGAGCTCGAAGAGGGCCGCGCCATCTAGCATCGACGACGCCGTCGCGCCGCCGTTCCAGGCGACGTCGAGGCGCCCGTCCGCGACGCCGACGGCCGTCGCGCGCAGCGCGGCCGGGTCGCACATCTCGTGTAAGGGGCCGACTGGCGTCGCCGTGAGGATGCGCTCGCCGGCGGCCGCGGCGACGTGGGCCTCGTCGCGGCAGGCGTCGCGGAGCCAGAGCGCGTGGAAGCGGTACGTCGCGCCGGAGCCGAAGGACACGTCCACGGCCTTGCCGCCGTCGGCGACCTCGGCGGCGACGACGGCGCAGCGCGGCGGCGAGTCGGCGGTGGGCGGCGCGGCCGCCGGCGCCGAGCGCAGGACGCGCGGCGCGCGGAGGCGCGGCTGCGGCGCGACGAGGGCCGACGCCGGGAGCGCCAGCAGGGCAGCCGCAGCACGCATCATCGCACGCGCGACCATGCTCACCAAGTGAGTTGTTTTCTATCTGAACAGCAACATCAACGCGAAAGAAAGTTGAAGGAAACACGCCCGTAACCGCCGCGGAGAAGTGCGCGCACGCCCGGTTTGCCGTGGTGTGGCTGCTGCCGGAACGATGGTTTGCCGTGCGCATCGACCCCGGCGTGGCGGCGGAGGGCGAGGCGTCGTATTCGTCGCGCGCGAGCTTGAATTTGGCGAGCGCACGATTTCGGGAGTCCGAGTCGACGATGGGGATAATCGGGCTTCGGGGCAGCTGGCACGTGCGTCGAGAGGCTCGATCGGCGCCCGGAGACCCGAAGGAGGCGAGCGCCGCGAGGGCGAAGAGGGAAACATCGTCTGCAACGGTGATTCTTGAACCGTGGCGACGATTTGCGCCACGAGATGTTGTCGGCTCTGCGAAGATCCGCGCAGCGACCGCGGGTCGTCGCGGCGGCGGCGTGCGCGTCGTCGTCGCAGGCGCCGCCCTGGCGGCTCGCGGAGCGGGAGCTGCAGCAGCAGAACGTGCGCCTCCGCGACGTGTCCACGGGCGCCGACTACGTCGCCCTCGTGGCGCGCCTCGAGGCGGAGCAGCGCGCGGCGAGCCGCGCGGCCGTGGGCGTGCGGCGGAGCGCGAGCCCGCCGCTCGGCGAGGCGACCTACAGCGTGCTGATCCGCTCCGCCGTCGAGGCCGGCGACGTCGCCGCGGCCGCGCGCTTGCTCGAGAGGATGAAAGCGCGGTCGCCCGAGCGGCCGCGGCGCCGCGCCTACGCGCCGCTGCTCGCGGCCCACTCCCTGGACGCGTCGGCGCGGCAACGCGTCGACGACCTCTGGCAGGACATGGTCCGCGACGACGTCGCGCTCTCGGAGAGCGACTACGCGAACCTCTTCCGGAGCCGCCTCGCGGGGCCGGCCGCGGGCGTCGACGAGGTGCTGGAGCGCCTGGGCCGCGACGCGGGCGTCTTCGCCATCGCGTCGCGCACGGCCGCGGCCATGGCGCGCGACGCCGACGCCGCGCCGGGCTGGTCCGCGACGTACGAGCGCGTCGGCGCCGACGGGACGACGCGCTTCGGCGCTTTAAAACGCCTCGCGCTCGACGGCGCGGACCGGGCTCAGCTCCGGGCGGCGGTGCTCCGCGCCGCGGGCCGGCGCGGCGGCGCCCAGCGCGAGCGCCTCGAGGCCTTCGCGGAGGCCTTCGACCGGCGCTGCGCGGCCGCGGACGCGAAAAACCCGCCCGGCGTCCGCGTCGCGCTCGACGGCGCGAACGTCGCCTGGTACGGCCGCAACTTCCGCGGCGGCAACTTCGACCACGGCCAGCTCGACCGCGCCATGGGCGCCCTCCCCGCGTTCTTCGACGGGCGCGTCGACCCCGTGTTGGTGTTGCCGCGGAAGCACGCGCGCGCGTCGCGGCTCTCCGGCGACGCGAGGCGGCTCGTCGACGGGTGGCGCCGGGAGCCCCACCTGCTGACGACCGTGCCGCCGGGCAGCGACGACGACTGGTACTGGATGCTCGCGTCGCTGTCCGTCGCGAGCCGCGGCTGCGACTTCGCCGTCTCCAACGACGCCGCGCGGGACCACCACTTCATGCACCTCGCGCCCCTGCCCTTCCAGCGCTGGAAGCGGCGCCACGTGTTGCGCTTCGCGTTCCGCCGCGACGCCGCGGGCGCGCCCGCGGCGTTCGCGCTCGACGAGCCGCCGACCTTCTCCGCCGAGCTCCAGCGGCTCGAGACGGCGAGCCACGTCGCCTGGCTCGCGCCCCTCGCCGACGCGCCGGGCGTCTGGCTCGCGCTGGCGCGCCCTAAAGATTAAAAACGCACGCGCGGCAGGTCCGGGTCCCGTTTTTCCTGCGGGTAGCCCTGGAGCAGCGTCAGGTGGTCGCCGCGCTCGACGACGTCCGCGATCTTCTCCGACTCGCCCAGAGCCTGGTAGTACTTGGCGAGGTAGTACTCCTCGGTGTTGAGCCGCAGGACCGCGTTGAGCTCCGGGTGCCTCTCGTTGTACGTCTTCACGGCGTACTCCGTCAGCCGCGACACGGGGCTGTCGTACCTGGAGCGTTTTGCGCGTGTCTTTTCTCGCGCGGGTGCTTACACCGGGACGCGGGCGCGCGCCAGCTCTTGGGCACGGTCATCTTGCCCTCCCAGTTCATGGCGTCGGGCAGCGACGGCTCGCCGTTGGAGCCCATGGGCTTGTAGATCACTGCGGGGCGCGCGTGACGCCACGGAGGCGCGCGGAGGGACGCCGGTGGAACGCGCGGTGGACCTTCATGCGGCGCGTCGCGCGCGCCGGCAGCGCCGCCGATCGATAGACGACTTCCTCCACCACCACCTTGTGGCAAATCGGGTGGTTGAATGTGCAAGCAAGTGGGAAACATCGGCGTTTCATCAAGGGGTCAAGCATGGCGGAGATCGAGGGGCTGGTTCGCGCCTTGCGCGAGGGCGACGACGCGGCGAAGACGGCAGCGGCGCGGGCGCTGTGGAACCTCGCGTACCACAACGCCGCCAACAAGGTCGCGATCGCCGAGGCCGGCGCCATCCCGCTGCTCGTCGAGCTCCTGTGCGACGGGCGCGCGGAGGCCAAGCGGCAGGCTGCGAGTGCGCTGGGCTCGCTCGCGTACAACAACGACGCCAGCAAGGTCGCGATCGCCGAGGCCGGCGCCATCCCGCTGCTCGTCGAGCTCCTGCGCGACGGCAGCGCGGACGCCAAAGAGGAGGCCGCGTTCGCGCTGAGCAACCTCGCGTGCGACAACGCCGCCAACCAGGCCGCGATCGCCGAGGCCGGTGGCGTCCCGCCGCTCGTCGAGCTCCTGCGCGACGGCAGCGCGGACGCCAAACAGTGGGCCATGTTTGCGCTGGGCAACCTCGCGTGCTACAACGCCGCCAACCAGGCCGCGATCGCCGAGGCCGGCGCCATCCCGCTGCTCGTCGAGCTCCTGCGCGACGGGAGCGCGGAAGCGAGCCGGCTTGCCACGGGGGTGCTGTGGAACCTCGCGAGCAACGCCGCCAACGTGGTCCTGATCGCCGAGGCCGGCGCCATCCCGCTGCTCGTCGAGCTCCTGCGCGACGGGAGCGCGTACGCCAAAGAGGAGGCCGCGCTGGCGCTGTGCAACCTCGCGTACCGCAACGCCGCCAACAAGGTCGCGATCGCCGAGGCCGGCGCCATCCCGCTGCTCGTCGAGCTCCTGCGCGACGGGAGCGCGGAAGCGAGCCGGCGGGCCACGGGGGCGCTGTGGAACATCGCCTACAACAACGACGCCAACGCGGTCGCGATCGCGGCGGCCGTCGGCCTCGAGGCGCTCGTCGAGCTCGCGCGGCGCGGCCGCCTGACCGTCGACGACCAGTCGGTCGTGCGCGACGCGGGCATCGCCGCGAAGCGCAAGGCCGCGCTGGTCGTCGCCGCGCTGCTTCGCGCCTGCGTCCCGGACGAACTGCGGAGCCGAGCCGACGTCCGGGACGTCATCCGCGGCGTCGTCGGGCCCTACCTCTAGGACGCATCGCTAATTCTAAGCGCCAGAAAGGCCAGTACCCAGCGCCAACTTGACGGCATACATTACCCCTCGAACAGGAGCGGCCGCCAGGTCGGCGGGCCCATGTAGAACGCGCTCGGCGGCGGCGGGTCGTCGCCGCCGTCCGCGCCGTCGACGGGCACCCAGAGCGGCGCGAGCTCGAGCAGCCCCGCGGGCTCCGGCTCGGCCGGCGGCGGCGCGCGGCGCTCGCGGGGCCCGAGGAGCGCGCGCGCCCAGGCCGCGCCGCCGTCCGCCGCGGGCAGGGCCATGTTCGCCGCGGGCCGGCCGCCCGGCGCCGCGCGCGCGAGCGCCCGGTCCCAGAAGCTGAGCATGAGCGACGTGCGCCGCCGCGGCGACGGCCGCCCGGGCAGGACGCCGTGGAGGAGCCGCCCGTCGAAGAGCAGGAGCCCGCGCTCCGCGTTCTCCGCGACGAAGCCGACGGCGCCGGCGTCGCCGGCGTCCGACGGGTCCCGGTCGGTCACGACCGTGCGGCCGCCGGACGGCGGCGCCTCGAGCAATACGACGGCGGAGCACATGGGCAGCGCGCCCGACGCGACGTCGGCGTCGAAGTGGAGCTCGTGGCCCGCCGCCGACCTGTGTGGAATTCAACCACTGGTTTGGGTGGTCCTGACCAAACTTCAGAATTCTCTAGCTCGATCAAATCGAAGTCGATTCGGCTGATTTTTGGACGAATCGATTGCTCTCGTCGAGTTCTCGAAGCACAGCCGAAGAGCTTGCGTCGAAACTGTCGCATTGCGCACATTGAAGTCGGGTGAAGATTGAATTCCACACAGCCGCCGAC